CCCCCCCCCCCCCCCCCCCCCCCCCTCACATACATTCAATACTGTCGATAGCAAGTATCCCCTTAGCACAATGAGCCGAATCAAATGTCGTGAAGACATGCTTCCACGAAACGATGTTGCGACTAGCGAGGTCAGTGGGAGCTCTTGACGCGCCTGCATATCTTCATTGTACAGACGTGATTTGGACCATGTAGAGCGTGTCGTATGAAGGAGATCGATGACGCTAGTGGAAGCGATGTACTTGGACATACCAACACTCACAGTCACATGACCTTATGTTCAGGACGTAGGCGGTGTGTGCTGCACGCCAAGGAAAGTCTGCAATCTCGACAGGTGTACATATTCAACATACCGACTCCAATCGTGCTGCCACAGCACAAGCTTCCTGATTCCAGCTATCCATGTCGCTTTGTACAGCGATCAGGGGCAACCCCGTCGTTCCACACTCAGTCTTATGACACCATATACATCGAGTACCTCCACCGATACGGTCCATCCAACACTCATTGCACAAGATCCAGCCACAGTGAGTGATCGCGCTAAGCTCTTGTCGGCCGTGTGCGCAATGGAAACCCTCAGCAACTGGCTGGACGCACACGTCGCCCCGACGTGTGAGTGAGACAATTTGCAGGGCTGCGTTTATAACCTTAGCTCTGATCTGCTCCAAGTTGTCGTCTTTTTGTTTTCGCAGCGTAGCGAAATTGTCTTGGGCTTCAATCATTCGAAGTTGCAGTGTGGTCAGAGAGTCCTCGATGGTTTTGGATTTGGTTCTCTCGTGCTCGAGCAATTTCTGAGTGCCGAGCATCTGCTGTTCCACATCATGGATTCTATCTCGAGCTGAAGCCACCTCTTGCTGAGCATCACGCAGTGAGGTTTCTCGTCGCTCACTCCGTGCTTTCACCTCGTCGAGAGTCTTCTGGGTCGACTCTAACGAATGAGCAAGCTGATCATACTGCCTCGCAAATTCTTGTGTCTCAGCCAAGACATCCTCGTACTCCGCTACTTGTTGTTCGATGGCGTCACATTTTACCTTCCATTTACTGACCTGGGTGCCGTGGCGCTGCTTCTGCTGTTCAAAGGATTGCAAGGATGCTTGCAGAAAACGCTTGTGATCATCGATGGCGATGTCATGTCGTCGTTTCGATTGCTCGATCTGTTCGCGATGTCGTTGTTTCTGCGCCTCAAATTTCCGACCTATGCATCTTTCGAGCTCAGCCACAATGTCGTCGACAGCATCGTCGTCGGTAATGCACGCTGCACTTTCCATTGCAGAGCGATCGTACTGGCGGCAGAGCCGAACCAAGCGTGACTTCGTGGTTAAACACAACTCGACTCTTGAAAGTCGATCTCGAAGCCGCCGATCGAACTCATCCACAACATCAGTGATACTGTCGTCGCTGCTGGAAACAGCAATGTCTTCTGCACCGGGCTCAACAAGCCGGTGACAGTGCTCCACCAGACGATTCTTTATGGATATCAATAATGATTCGCGGGCAGCATCGCGCATCTTGAGCTCGTCGACGTATTGACGGAGACGAAGTTCTTTGCGCTGCACGAGCTGACTATGCCGTTGCTTCAGCAGTCGCCGCCGTGTGCCGTCGGAGAGCCGGAGTTGTCTGATCATGGTACTTTGTGAATGTGAGAAGGAAGAGAAGATCGAGAACTGAGAGAAGGACGATCTGGCTCCTCTATATACCTTTCACGGGAGCCAAGGTAGCAGGCGACATGGCCAGCTCCGTCTGCCACGAAGAACGATAGGTCAGAGAGCACGAATGGGACCGCAGTCAGGAAGCTCTGTTGTGCATTAGCGCTCAATCTCGTGCACTGACACAGAGATTGAGTTCCTGATAGCGACTGATCACGGCAAGCGCGATTGGACGAACAGGGGCATGTTGGTCCCAGCCACGACTGACAAGCTCGTGCTTTCATGCATCAGATCACTGTGCACATGGGAATGGCATGTATGGAAAAGGCATGATCACTGACCTGCAACGAAGTTAGTAGCACCATACCTGGCTTGACGACGAGCCCTGCAAAGTCCATCACGATTGGGGAAACTCTTCCACGATAGGGATGTGACCGTTCTTGCTTTGTTGCAAGGCTGATGACTATACTGCTGATCGGTTGGAGATCGGGGCGAGCGGATCCTCTACCTGAGCGAGGCTTGCCCAAGGCCGGCTCGCTTGTATCGAATGAACATGGTGATGAGTATGGGTGACGACAGAGCGCGACCCAGCTTCAATAATCCGGCCAGAAGACAAGCACGTCCTGTGAATCGACACGTCCATCATAGAAATGGTAATCCTCCCAAAAACAGAAATTTTCGTGATCCGATCACTTCGGCCCCTTCCCACGGATACAAGCATGGACCATGTTCAATATTTTCCCAGTGAACATTTCAATCATATGCTAGGTCGAGACGAACCTACCTGCTGGCTGAATACGGCAACAGGTGGACAAATGGTCGAGAATGCAAGGGAGCAGAACACTGGATTCTTGAATTCTCTCGAAGTATGGTCATGTAAGAAGTCGTTGAAAGCATATCAGACGAGGAAATTTGCAGGGCTAGCAAGAAACTCTGTGAAGCACGGGGCTGTGAAGCATGTACGTTAAAACAGATGATATCAGTGGACGCCATCGTTGTAGGCTATGCCCGAAAGCATCAAAGAATACATCTCAGAACCCGGGGATTGGACCGAGCCAACAATGGCTGGATCAATCCCGTGTTTATGTGGACCAGGCCTGGAAATGTATGGCGCAATCCTGAGGACTGTGGCTCGGTCCTCTCTAACTATGGCCCAATTCTATGCAGTCTGTGGCCTAACCACATCACGCTTTGACCCAGCCCTTCTTGCTGGGAAGCCAAGGTAAACAAAAAAACCTACTTTGTGTGTCTATCTACTACTTGTTTAATGAAAGACGAATACGCAATCTGCCCACCAATCTGAGCCTGTAACCTCACTAATCCTCACTGTGTTCATGTCTTGATATACGTATTCAAGACTGTTGTTGGAAGGGTTGTTACGGGTTACAGCTTGTACGACGGACCCATTTTGAGTATTGTGCTGGACAAGCAAGAGCTGATCCACGATATCCTTACCATCAGCGCACTGCTCGAGTGTACTCTGTCCGTACAAAGCATAAAACAACCAGCTTGCCTTCAGCGCAACCAGGCTTGATGGCGACAACGTTGTATCTTGTTGCAAACGAGTACGGTATAACACATCGAACGCATCGTACAGAACTGCTGGCCATGCAAAAGGGCCTTGCTCGGACCAGCGACGTTTGATTACAGGAACATCAGTTTGTGCGCCTGGAAGGTTGTTGGGCGGTCCCCACAGCTTGACGCTGGCATGTGTGTTGTTTGTGTTGCTAATTGTGGTAATCAGTAAACCTGGCGATCTGACAAGAATGCCTGTAGTTGTGATCTCGAACCAGCCAGAAGGAGTGATGACCTCGCCTACATCCGAGACATGAAGACCGTTTTGACTGAACAAGGACACTGCCGTGGAGTTTGCCAAAACTGAGACGACGAGATACTTTGCCAGCAAAGCAATAACGAAAGTCGTTCTCATATTCAGTAGTAGTGTGATTGACTGCTGAGTGCTGACCCAGATGGAATGAGGCGAGCTGATGAGTTTCTATTATCGAGCTGGAAGTGAGCCTTCACCGAACCACATCTTTGCGAGGTTGTACCACATATCTAGAGCCACGGCGTTTGCAGGCTGTGAGTTCTGCTCGAGCCTGCACACTAATCCGTGCGGCCGAACCACGACCACCAGTTTTGATGGTTGCCGTCCTCGGGTTCTCGGCACATTCCGATGAAGGTTTCCCTCTGACATTCCGGTTTGCTCCTCGATGGCTAGTAACGAGTGTCCTTAGCTCTCATAGTACGATACAAATCCAGTGGCGACTAACCTTGCTGGTACAGTCTTACCCTGAGAATGTATGAAGTTGCTAGCGTCCATCGAGTCGTGACTATGATCTGAGCACATCTGGACCAGATCAGCTAGAGCTTGTCGCGTGTTCTTGTCGCGCAGGCCACTATGCACGGATACGAATGAGCTGTCTAGCTAGCTCAATGTTTCCAGGACCGAATCCTTCCGTGTCGTTGAACCTTATTGCCCCCAGTGTTTGTCCTTGATTTGAAGTCTGTGATCATACTGCCTCTGCCGTGGCTGTGCTTTGTTAATAGAGGTGACGAGAACTCTAGAATCAGTGCGCGTGACTGTTCTAGAAGGCTGGGCCTGGAGTTGTGGTTTCAGTCAATGCTGAAGCGCGCAGGATGTGGTTTTCCGTTTACTTCGAAAGCTGTCGAGATCTGATCAAACGCTTCAGTGACCAAGACGTCAGCAAATTCCCTCTGTGTTCACATTTCTGTTATGCGGTTTTTTTGAGACAAGTTTTGTTCTAAGATAACATAAGAATTTATGGACCAGTGCGGGCTTTGAGACGCAAAGACGCTTGCGCCAATCAAGGCTCAACTGCGATCCAGGAGAGTATACAACGCTGCTTGCGCCTCAACCCATTTGGGTGTGGCTGTCAAACAAGGTGGAAGTAACAATTGTTGTGGCAGAGTGGGAGAACGAGCACATCTGGTCCTTGCCTGCAAAGAATTACGCGTTGGATGTCTACGACAAGGAGTCTCTCAGAAATCTGGTTTCTGCCATGAGTCGTGTGATGCAATGGGGAGCGACGGAGTACCTGGACTGGTTCCGTGCAGAGCTGCTCGGAAGACCGGACCTGAACACCGAAACATGATACGAGGAAAAACGTGGATTCACTCGACCGCGGATTAACTACGATGAGAACTCCTGTCACACAACATGTCGTGTTTGTGATAATAGTCCGGGCGGGTCGAGACCGGCAAGAGTGCGGGATCACGTACTGAGTAGAGCGATCAAATTCATGCTACACCATCATCTCGAAGGGTTTTGGGTTGACGAGGAATGTCTCGACAAAAGTGACGAAGCCAAGCACCTCGAAGCCATCAATGGCATGGATGTGGTCTATCGGAGATCTCGGCTTACTGTAGGCCTGCTTGAGACAGATATAGGTAGTAAACAAGATTTACACCTTCTGGACGAATTTCTTCAGGGCAAGTATGTAGAGGTAGACACAGCACGAGCACCTGTACGAATCATACCCAACGTTGACCTTGGGCGACTGAACTTGCTGGTACGTCTCTTGCAACGGATCTTGTCCGATCGATGGTGGCAAAGGTGCTGGATCTTTCAGGAAAACCATTGCTCACACAGAATGATGCTTTTACTGGTATACGAAGACAGTAATGCGAGACCTACGGCTCTAAAAAAGATACAGTACATCGGCAACGACATTCAGATCAGCGCTAAGAATTTCCAAGTCAACTTGACCTTGCTCTGCCTTGCTGCTCACCACCAAAGTCGAATTTTGCAGTCTTCCATTTGGCTCATATGTCGTGCAATGCTGAAGAAAGCTCGTAGGTACAACATCTTGCGTCAATTTCGAGGTTGGGACGTTATCGGCGCCGAAAATACACCAATGTCGGCTCTGATATTTGCTGACGTCTGCGAGAGAGATTTGACATACAGGACGGACATACCGGCAATTGTGGCCAATTGCTGTGACTACACCAGACGCATCGACACTTCGTGCAAGGTTGATGGACACTTGAGCCTAAGTCTGGTCCTCTTAGCCTTGTTTCTTCTGAACGGCGATATGCTCTCCTATTGTCCAGCAAGCAAAGACATTCTCGCAATGACTGTGACCGACCTCCTCATAATTTGCGGCTAAGCCTCAGCGGCTAGGCAAACAGATCTTTGCTTGAGCGGGCTGCTGCCTGAGACGTCCACACCCTGCCTGTACATCCATGCCTTGCCCTAACTCCATCACCCCAAATAAACGTTGATCACCAAGTTTTGATGTCAGGAACCTGTTTGTTGATCACGTCGTCGCGTAGCAACCACGTAGCTATGGGTATTGTTAACGAGGCTAATTTACAAGCAGCTATCGCTGCACATCGTCGTGGTGTTTGTAAGTCTCACTGGTGTTGCAAATCCATGCCCAGACAGCCATTGAGTAGTCCAATGAGAGCTGTTGCCGTTGATTGTGAAACGGGAACAGCTGCCTCCGGCAACTCCCAACTCATCAGAGTCACCATGATCGACTACTTCACCCTTGCACCCTCGTTGATCGTTTGGTTTGCTCTAGCGTGCCAATGCAGCACTACAACACAAGATATTCTGGTGTCGCAACAGCATCGATGCGCAAGGCGGCGCGAGGGAAGACGTGTCTGTTCGGACGTGATGCCGCGCGCCGGGAGTTGATGAAACACATTGATTCCCAGGCTGTTGTCGTGACGCATGGTGGACACAGTTGGTCGTTCCCTCAAAGCTCTCTGTGCACGCCTTCTTGGCGTTAGTGTTCAGCAGGGTAAGGGATACGACAGTTTCGAAGATGCTGCAGCTGAGTCGTGAGCTTGTGCATCGATGGGTTAATTCTGTTTTTGACTAGAGTGGCTGCACAACTAACAATCCTCTGTGATCGACCAAGCAGAGATGTGTTGCCCATGTAAGGATTAATCTGGCTTAGGACGGAACACAAAGTGCATTGCATACAGAGGCTGATGACCTCTATGGCTCGACCAATCATGCATGTCGTCGTACCAAAACTCCATATACATGGAGCCTCATGCGCAGCGCATTAGTCCATTAATGCGTTGGCCAAAACGCTCAAGTCACCAATGGGATCCTGAAAGGCATTCACTCGACATACTGTCCGCATCGTGTCCTGTCGGATTATGAATGAACTACGGCGGCAAGCGTGTGATGGAACGCCGACTGGAGCCACGTCATGAGCTGACAGATGGTGTTTCCACACCAGCCTGGCCAAGGGCGATGCCGTTCGCGATCACTCGTCTTTGCACAGTGGTCCCAGAACTTCTTCAGCTTCACTCAGTCCTCGGAATCCGCTACACGTCATACGGTGAAACGAGAGACTATAATTGGCGTATCGAATCTAGACCCTCACGATCTCACGGTGCTCAATCAGCGACCGAATTGAGGTGGAAAAGCGGCACTATAAGTCATGCCATTCCGCTGTGAACGTCCCCCACGGGTTAACTGCTGACACCTGAAGTCACGAATATTTGTCCTCATAGCTGGCTTATCCATTCCTTGAAATTTCTCGCCCTCTACAAGCAGATCGTGCAGCACTCCGAATGGCTCGGAAGCAGAAGTCTTACTGGGCTGTGGCGCGTGGAACAATCCCTGGCATCTATACGGAGTGGTGAGATGACTCTATTGACGTTCTCTGCTGCTAAGTCTCAGTAGGGCATCCGCTTGTGCCTACACTTCTGGAGTGCCTGGAAGTTTACACCAAGCATTTAGGACGATTGAGGATGCAAAGGTTTGGATGCAGGGCCAAGGGTGCACAGACTATTTCGTGGACGAGGCTATACCACCGACTCGCACAACGACGAGGAATCGAAAATATGGAGTGGGAAGCGGTCGCAAGTCTGGTGTCTACAACTCTTATCAGTAAGGCAACATCTCAACGAGACAGTGATTCGTTAGCTAAAGACGGCACCTAGTCACGGAGCCGAATTGGAAGTTTATGGGTACCCGAGTGCTTGTCACCAATCTTTCTCGAACGAGAAAGATGCTCTTAAGCATGTACAGCACCACGAGGAAGCGCTTTTGATTCGAGAACATATAGAAGACTTGATGAGAATAAGTATTGGTTAAAGCCTAAGAACGACAGAGCAAAGGTCTCGCTGTCAGCATCAGGCAAGCACAGCAGCCTATATCTCAAAAACATCATTCCTCCTAATGTTTATTGCTATTTTAAGCCTGTCTTAAGTCAATCAATTTGATTGGCAAACATGATAAAGCCGGCGAGCAGTCATAGCCAATCAGAATCAGAGGCTATTCACGAATTTGCTTGCTCGCCTGCGGCTGGACGTGTAGCTTCGACGTTCAGCTCTGGTCAACTCAATGAGGCTAGACCTACCGATTAGTTGTCATCACATAATGCGCCTGCCTGTCAACAATCATGTGGTAGGCATTTCCAAGAGACCTCCCGAACGTAGGTAGCAGCTCGGCCGTACTTCAGAGTGGGGGTGGGTTTGTTAAGCGTCAGGCTGTGACACTTCTATCGAAGAACACAAACTCCGAAGACAGAGGTGAATGATCTGAGGTGAGACAATGCGTGTACTGCGATATTGAAAGTAGTCTTGACTTGTCTACCAGCATGTTTCCTCAACACATATATCACAAGTTAGAAGGAGGGGCGATTCGTTTACTCAGGATCCATTCTCGATCAGACTTCACGCTTGAGAACACATACTGGAAGAACAGCGCGCCTTATGTTGCCATCTCCCACTGCTGGGGGGACGCCGACGATCTCTGCAATGTCACTATCAACGGAGCGGGAGTTTCGCTGCGGAAGCATGTCGCAGCAATGCTAGGCAGCCTCTATGAACATCATCACGTAAATTGCATCTGGTTAGACATGGCTTGTATCAATCAGTGCGATCTACAAGAGAAGGCTGAGCAGGTGTCGTTGATGGGACAAATATACGGAAAGGCTGACCAAGTCTACGCCTGGTTAGGAGAATCGGACCCTGAAGTCGATGACATCTTCGACGTCTTACAGCAATTTCGAGACTATCGAGAGCATGAGCATTCGCTCGAACATATGGACGCTGCTGAAAGTCTATCTTTCCACAGAGATTCGTTTAGAAGGATTTATCAGACTAGAATCGGTCTCATGCCGGAACCCAGCAACTCGGATGGTGACGATCTACACGAAGAGTTCAACCTACTGCGTCCATTCTTGATGATTCCATATTGGCGCCGTGCCTGGATCATCCAAGAACTCATCCTGGCAAAAACGGTGATTGTCTGTTACGGCAATCGATCGATAGACCTCCACGATGTTTATGGCACCAGCCTTGACTGGGGTTCTTTCGAACAAGGATTCGACGCAGGCGTAATACAGATCGCTGGACGGACGAACTTGAAACAACACTCCCGAGCATGGAAAATCATTCAGGCTATCTGTGGACACCGTCGATTGAGAAAGCGACTAGAATGGGAGAATGGTGAAGAGTTCAGGTTTCTTCAGAGTGGCAACGAGGAGATTGAGAGTCGAGCTGTGGTACTTATGAAGATGTCAGAGCGAGGAGACGTCGCGATGTTTGATGAGGTGATTGGACTGTATGCCCAGAACCATTGCAAACATCTGAGGGACAAAGTCTACGCTTTCCGAGAATTGGTCCCACAATGGAGAGAAAATGTCGTCGTCGACTATGACAAAAAGTCCGATCTGGAAGTGTTTCAAGATGTCGTGCGACTTGGTTTATTGAAGCCGCAAAAGCACGGCGGAGGACACGTGGCATTTTGGTTGTGGTCAGCGATGAATCTCGGGGATCGCTCTGAGTTTGACAGCTTTCTGCGTGAACATCTCCCAGAGATTTCACAACGATAGCGCATGTAGCTCAAATGGATTGGAAGAGTTCTATCGGTGGCAACTGGCCACAAGGCTAGGCATCCAAAGGATACAAGTTTGAGGAACAGTCTTTCCCATACTTGGATAGGGTCAAAGACCAGGCCGATAAAGCCGCCTACACGGATCGCAAGTTACACCAGGCCCGTTTGCATTGCGTCGAACCCATGCTTGATTGGAAGGTCTGGACGGTTGATTTGAGGAACATGTAGCGGATTCCTTAGGCGAAAGCAAGCCATCGCGTGAAGAACGCGAGGACTGGTCAAGGATACAGGCTTCAGCAGCCGCACGACACCCCACGCGCCTCGCTCCGCTCCCTATTTGTCCCTGCAAACGGAGCCTACCCAAAGTTTCGTTTCAAATCTAGGTCTAGATCGGACCGAAGCTTTGTTCTCACAGCTTTCAAAACACCCGCAGCGATATCAGAGCCACACAAAACTAAACAGGTTTTGCAGATTGGAAAGACGATTGAAATTCGATTGGTTGAAGGTGGTGTCGCATACTGCATTTTCCTGCAACACTGTTGCTTGGCAAGAGCGCTCTATCACATTCGAATGTGTGTCAGCTGCGTTAGTAGATATCTGCTTATCTGTGAACGATTGCAATTCCTCTTAGTCTTGCCTTAAACTTAATCCTATCTCACAATACTTCGCAGCCGCGTATGTATGTGGTTTGCGCTTATTGGCGACATATCACCCTGCAGATGAAGTTGCATCAACCATGACTCCGCTTTACAAATAACCAGCGTGCGCGTAGAGAGGGGCCGCTTTCTGCGCTATGACAGAGGTCAGCTCGACGCGTACATGTGTTCCTGAACTATTTGCTCGATCTTTCCTTGTGTGCTCACCCCTCAAAGTCACAGAACAAAATGTCTCAGATCCCGTACCGGAGGTGAGCAGTATCTCAACACCTGGTATGATCTAATTTGACGGCTCGTAGCTTCATCTCTTCGAAGCCCTTCCTTGTCGTGGGACCACTATGGGCATCGTTTTATGCGCACAGCGATCTCCTGGCGCAGTCATCTCCAGTATTCGACAGAGATGTCAATGGGGAGATGAGGGAAAAACAGCTGGAAACAATCGAGATTAAAGATGTGAATGGGGACATCGACGACGACACTGTGATGCGTTTCCTTGAGTACATCTACAGTGGCGATTATACTGTGCCAGATCCTGATATCGTCCAACTCTCGACGGATTCAACGGAGCCTCAAGAAGCCTTTGTCCCTAAAGCATTGATGGCACCGGAAGACGACTGGGCTGTGCCTTTCACAGGCAAGAGAGAGAAAAAGAAAAAGAAGAGAGATTCTGTGCTTGAGTGGAGTTCTGGACGTGATCTGAGCACAGAGAATCCGTCTCCGTCGGTTAAATCAGCAAGGGAAGACAATCAACATGTGCAAGGAACACCAGGACCCATCGTTCAACGCGTTGACTCTGACCGGCAAAAGCTTTGGGACAGCTTCTGCTCTGGCGTACACGTTGTGGAACATCAACCATGGAGACCACGGGGTCAGAATGGCGAACGTGAGGATTATACCAATATCTTCCTGTGTCACGCGCGCTTGTACAAGTTCTCAGATCGTTATGGCTGCAAACAGCTCATGGATTTAGCCTTACAGAAACTTCGATTGACCCTGTCCCAATACATCTTTTACCAGCAACGCGCACCTGATATTGTGAAATTGATTCAGTACACTTATGCTCATACTGCAGACTTCGACCATGGGCACGATAGACTTCGGGCTCTCGTACTGGACTTGACACTTTGCTATTACCGTGAGCTGATCGAGCACCCGCTTTTCGTTGAGCTGTTACAAGAAGGAGGGTCGCTTTCAAGCGATGTTATGGTCGGAGTCGCCCCAATGGTCTCTTAATGGTTGAGCAAATCGTGTCTGCAACAGAGTTGAGCGATCTCTGTGTCATCTAACGGTCACATGCAGGAGATGTCATGATGCGTAAGCCGTGCACCAGACATACAAAACATTTGACACACGATTGGAGGTAGTATATTACTGCTGATTTTCGGGATTCTGTATGTTCTATTCTTTTCTGTCCGTCTATCAATTTGTGGTCGAGGACGTTGACGATAGTTGACACTGATGCTACACATTACTATAGAGTCATGGCAGAGTGAAGCGGCTTTGTGAATTCCGCTGGTCAACCAGCTCACGCCGCGGATCTCTGGAAGATTACTTGAATAGTTTACGTAGATGTCACTGTCCCAAATTCAAGATGGCTAGATAGTGCTGAAAGCCCCAAGCGTTGTCGCTCATGTACAGGTGCCCTGGAGGTTGCACGTAGAATCCGTAACTGGTACTGGATCAACAGTGCGAGCACTTGTAGAGCTGATCTGGTTGGTGGGACGTGTCGCGCAGGGATGGAGGTCAATAGCAAACAACAGGCTGTGTGTCTTGTGCAGCAGCTGGGAAGGGTGGTACGAACTGCGACTGGAACATGGTGCGGTGCCTGCATTTGCCTTTAAATGCTCAACAACTTCTCTTGTCGTTGTTTCTGCGGGTGATGAATCTACGGTGCAAGTGCTTCCACGTTATTCATACTCAACAGATCTCAAACCTCCTTACGCTCCAACTTGCTAAGATGAAGCTTTCCGAGTTCGCCCACGGGCTCGACAAGCATAGCATTCCGACTATTGGTCCGGCAAGAAACCGTATGCCGGGACGGACGCGACCCCAGATCCTCTGAAGAAGACCACTGCGCAGCTCCGCAACACTCTTAGCACCATCGCATTCGTCGAACTATGGACCTTGAAAGGCTTACCAGTCGGCGGTCTGCCACACTGCAGATGAAATACAGTGTCTGCCCAAGAAGAGCAAAAGTTAGACGCCGACACTGTATTGAGTATGCTCCAGGTCTGGCACGTCAAAAGAATCGTTGCCAGTCGAAGCGTCATACTTCAAGCATAACGCGCTGCATCGAACATATCACTTCGCCAAAGCAAAGACAACGCGGAAAGATGCGGCAACGACGCTGCTCTCGTTACCTCTGCTGCAGTTGAAGAATGTTTCCATAGCCTTTCCCTCGTAGCCGCAGCTGTTCTGCAAAAAACTGATACAGACACTGAAGTCGCCTCAGAGCTTGGGAACCCGATAGTAATCTGCAAAGCGCTCAACCAAGTCGTAGCATCTCATTCGGAACTCGAAGAAGAGACGAAAGCAATCTGTACATCGATTCAAGCAATTCGAAAACCAAATGCAACTCACACTATGTGCAGTCCCACTTGGGTTTTCGCTTCGAATGGCCAGCGTACAAAGTGTGGGGCATATACAGATTGTTTGTGTATCACGAACAAGGTCGAGAACCATTCGTCGCACGATCTTGTACCGCTGCTTCGAGCGACAAACGGCCCAGGATATTTGTGACCATTAAGCCGTGCTTGGGCAACACAGACTAGGTGACTGAAAGAGGAACAACCCACAGCTTGTTCCCCACTTCGAGGGTCTGTGGTGCACGAAGATCTCCAGATCGACAATCGTTGCTCGTGAGCAATTCGAGGTCGTCCTCTGGACAAGCACGTAGATTGAGGACGCAAAGCTAACCGGACAAGGGGAATGCGCAAGGATCAAACAGCTTGTTCGAGACGCCATTGTGAGGTCAGCCTGTGCCTCGAGATCAACGGTGTCACGCTCAAAAAAACTTTCCTTGATGTCGTGTGGTTGCTGTTCGTTTCCTTTGAAAAAGTGCTAGTTCCGCGCACCGGCTCGTGGCGGCGCTGGTGCATCTTCTTGCTGCAGTATGTTTCGTGGTTGAGCTCACATGCGTTAGGCAAGGAAGGACTCCTGTGTCTGTCGCAGTAGTCGTTGTTGCAAAGACTACACCTCCGTGTATTTCCTTCCTGTTGCCACGAAGGTTTTCGTTGTCGCATTTGCAGGCACACATAGCATGTGATGTCCATGTCCGCAGCATCATGTCGCAGCTGTGAATGACGCGATGATGCAGGCGAAGATGACATGACGCTAGTATCGATACTGATGTCGAGAGGCGTAAGAAGGTAGCATACCAATTTGTGCGGTGATCGATCTCGAATTCAGACTGAGCGTCATGCAGACACAACTGATCCAGAAAGCTGCAGTCGAAGGGAAAGTGAGCCGAGGACCATCACCTGTGATTGCAGAGAGGTAGTCTACTTTGACACAGATGTCGGCAGTGCCCTATACTCGTGGTGTCGGATCAAACCAATCGCGCGTCGCACCTTTAGGACACGACGATTTATGCATCAGACTATCTCCTCATCTTACACTGATTGAATGTGCTAAAGCTTTTCCGTGTCAAAGCGCAGCGTTACAGTCAGTCTCGTTTGAAGCACCTGTTCGACCGCGTTTCGTGCCAACTCTGTCAGCCTACATTCGTCGATTCGTGACGCCCAACTCTACAGGCGCTCCCCAGATTGCCTCTGTCGACCGAGCGGCTTTCCTGCTCTAGGAACGAGAAATTCCGACGCTTCTCAGGGCTTTTCATTGGGCTCAACATGTAAGAAGATGACACGGCAGAAGAATGCGAAACGGGAGTACGTGAGCACTGAAGCAAGCACTACCTCGGCGAACGACATCAAGCGCAGCAAAACAGAATCAGTCGCTGCCGTCAACAGCGGTGCTCAGGGTTGTGCAAAAAGGTGCAGTCTCTCCTTGACACACCGACGCTGTGGAAGATATTGAGTTAACGTAGACCGCCGCGCCTGTCGAGTCAATTGCCTTTAACGACGCAACACGATCTGTTGCAGCACGTTCAACACCTACTGGAGGACATGTGCCAGCGCTTCGGCATGAAGTGGTGTCCACAAGAGATGCAGAAGCACAGATGGACCGAAAAACGCTCACTAGAACTTCAATGTTGGGTCAAGTTCCTCAAGAAGCATTCTAGCTGCCTCCCCATCAGTGTGTCCGAGCCACAAGCTTCGGCACTCGAGACACTCCTATTCACCAAGGTGGCCAACATCCGCCACCTCGGCGTCCATCGTCGAGCTCTTGAGCTGCCCACGATCCTCGACCACCTCGTTGCTGCCTGCACATTCGCCGAGTTGCATCAGGATATCGAGGTCAATGCTGGGTTGTCGTCTATCGTCCGTGCTCTACAGAACATCCATGGCGATCTCATGAAACAACAAGACTCGATGAGAGAAGTTCTGCAGCGCAGGATAACCCAGATTCGGCTGCAGCAAGCTGAACTGGAACATCAGGCGGAGCTGGACACCGAGCAAGATAACTCGCGACGCTTAGTGGAGGCAGGTAGCAAAATAGATGACCTGCTACGTGGTGGGTGGAGGCTAGAAGAAGACACCACAATTCCCCGTGGCAGGTCGCCATTTTCAGATGGGTCTGAGATCGACGCCATTCTCACAGAGGCGGCAGCGCGCTCTTCAGTCTCGTAGCTGTTGTAATTCCTAATAGCGATTGCACCACCGCTTCGAGTAACGATTGGCTTGAGGCATGCTCGGAGCGTGGGCTCGGAGTGCATACTAAACTTGTCCTGCAAAAATTTCACGCATTTCCATTCAGCCGCCCTGGGAATGACTAGGTTAGCATAGAGGACGAAGAAGAGAACGAAGTGTTCATATTCACTCTTTCTAAATTGCTAAGTAGGAGATACAGTTACCACGATGACGAACTGCAACACGGCGAGAAGCGCCTGAGATCGACTACGACAGTCGGACTAGGTTGAAGTTTGCTGACGTGGCCGCCTCTCCGTCCATGGTGCCATCGACATAAGCCTCACTGATCAGAGTATACCTGTCACCCTCCTGACGGCGAAAGACGAGTGGTACCTGACATCCTCTGACCAGAGCCACAATGTCGCCTCCTCTAACGTGCTCTGAGCTGAGCATCAAATGACCTTTGCTCGTAATGAAGGGAAGGCGTCCTGGGCTCTTACCGATGATCTCTGAGCTCAGCTTGACGTTCAACAGAGCCCTACATGCAGTATCTTCTTCAGTCATTAGGCTAGCCAGGAATTTGTCAGCGTCGAGCCTGATTTCGCGCTGCTTGATCAGTGGCAGTGAACACCTGAGAAGCGTGACCGCATCAGAAAACCGACCGTCATTAACTCTGCTTAGCATACCATCCTGGTCGTAGCCCACATCCCCGATCGAGGTCCTCGCCGTTGCTGTAAGACGCTGGCGGAAGCTGACGTTAGTTTTGTGGTGATACGTGAGACAGAGTATCCCGATCAGCCATCTCCGTGGCTACGAGTAGGTCTCCTCAAAGGGTACTTCGTTCGTTGACCTTCTGCTCGGGAATGATGCAGCTGCTTCGACCTCATCGTACAGATGACAGAACAGCGATATACCATCCACAAGCCCATCCTTCTTTTCAACCACAACATTTGGGCCAGCTGCTGTCATGAGCGACGCGTGAAACGTAGGATATACGGTGACATGATCGTTTCGCACATCCTGCAGCATGTCGGTGGCTGATCGAGACCAGTCGACTACCCACGATGGAAGATTCTGCTGTATCTTAGGGCTTTGGCACAGCGAGAGCAACGACATGTGGCCTTGCTCAAGCATAGCCGCCATTGTTGCCGTGTAAACATCCACGCAGTTCCTGGTATAGTCGGGAATAATTCCTCGCTGTTCTAAGTCCGCTCTGTCAGATGCTAGACCTAGGAGAGCAAATACCTTGTCTCTCGGATCTGTGGACTCGAGATGATGAGGTCCGTGACGGTGCAGATTGATGCTTCCCACACATGTGGCCCGGAGGAGTGCTGCTAACGGAAAGTGGTCACGCTGATACAAGTCCCGGCCACACAACATGATGTTAGGTTGGTGGTGGAACATAGTGGTGGTGATTGCGGTGTGATAGGGTGAAGGCGACCATGCCCGACTGAGGGTGTTGCGCATGAGTATCGTCCACAACCCTATGTAAGCACTCAGAGCCGCACGACAACGACGACGACTGACGCTCTGAGTTCCGCAGACGAAGAGAGCGTTTCCCGGCAGAGCAATCTCTTGGAGTACCCACACTCGTCCCCACCAGGGTCGTGTGAACAACCGCTGCATGCCAGCAACCGGGAACAGGTCATCTTTGCAGTGCCAGCCACTGATTGAGCAAAAAAGATCGATCAGCGCTTGACGAGGAATGAGCTTGACGCTTCCATCTACGGTCTCGACACAGAACTGCGGGGACTCTTGTTTGATGGTCGGCTCTTTGTCTGCCAACTCACTCCAGACATCCAGGTGGTGGCCTTCCACAGACTCAATTCCACACGCTTCTGCTTTACGTCCGAAATCCTGCAGGAATGTCATAACAGCATCACTGTCGTGCTGTGCGGGTCCCAGCCAAGCCAACACTTGTGAGGATTGTTGATAGATATCTCTCATCAAGCCAACCTGCCAGCTCTTTTCCGCGTCGTCTTTCTGGTTGATGCACAAAGCGTCAACCCAGATGATGCGACTCTGATCAGGATGCCTGAGAGCCATGATTGCATCATATAAATTCGTGGTGACACGGATAGGAGAGCCGTCAACAAGTACAAGACGCTTACCGATAGCGTCTCCCCATGTATAGGATAGAGCCACAAAGCGTGGCTTCTCGCTGAGCGTTGTGTGGAAGACGCGACAGGCTGGCAGTTGTCTGTATCTCGCATCTTGACCTTGACCCAGAACTTCCAGAAGTCAAATTTCATGGTTAGTACGATCCAAAGCACGGTATTTGATGGTCATGATCTCTTCAGTAATGTTAAGACGGAAAGTGATTATAGTAGTGCAATCTGAAGACTTAATGATTTGATGACTAAACGAATTGAAGAATACCAATCTTAGCCAAAGTGGTGGAATTCCTAAGCATGTAGATAGGACCTAGTGTGTCGTAAACAATGCTTGACCATTGTGTTTTGTTCCTAGGCAGAATAATCTAGTTCTTGTGAATATGTTACATATTCCAGCATGTATCATTGAGCGTGGTATGCAACTCGGACCGTGATGAAATTTGGTTGCTCGAGCTGCGACTTGAGGTCGTCGACGCAGATTACCAGATGCATCAGATATAATTGTCGTTTAAAAATGGACCACCATTTTTGGTACCAGTAAGTTTCGCGACTGTACCATTCCAAACGATTCGTAGCGACGAGGCAACACCACAGTTTACCGAAGGTAACCTAGCATGACTGGACTTTTTGTCCACCATAGTCAGAGTTGAAGTTGGCCTCGATGACGTAGCCTGACGCGCTGGCCATGCATCTCATTGTGTATACAGGTATGGACTCGTGATCGTGCAAATATGCCTTGTGGTCGGAGGTCAGCCTACGGGGCACATTCGACGCGAGTGCAGACAAACGCGTAACACACGACATGCCAGAAAAGTATTTGATTGGCCTGGGAAATGCAATGCTGGGTAGAACTAAGCTATGCTGGCAGATTGATTCGACTTAGCGACGGAGATCCAGAGAAAGGCACGTGTGTCGAGTGCTTTGACTATCACTGCACAAGCTCCACCACTTCCATCAAACAATGATCTTCCTTAACAAAGGAAGGACGACCGAGATTCCTGCCAATGATTTCTGAGGTCAATTTGTTGTCCACCTAAAGTTTCGTGGGAGCTTCTCCTGCGACAAGGCCGACCAGCCTTTAAATTGTTTTACTGCTGCCCGTCCAACGACCATGAGTAGGGGTGTCTATGCTAAGTCGTTCAGCTTGACGTGAACAGGTTTCGATGACCCTTCGCCTGAGCGTAATCCTCATTGTGGCTACGATCCAAAGACCTCATGTTCGGCAAAGACCATGAGGTCGACTGTATCACATGCCTAGCGAACCACTGCATAATTCTTTCCACGGGTTTGGCCCGCCCTCTTGCCAGCTGTATCGACAATGCCCAAGTGTGTGCCTCGCATGCATGACTGGCAAGCAAGGCCGACTGCAGCCTCAGCCTCAGCCTGCGTTTTCAACCTCGTCGTCAGTATTTGTGTACCACCACCAGAGCGTAAGCCTCAGGTCACTACAATTGTCTCTGGATTTGTTTTCAGGAACAAAACAAAATCCGAGCGCAAGACGTGAGCATCAACCTAGATTCCGAGACGTTCGATTTCAGTCAACTTGCTAAGTGCTGTGGCTGGTGGAGGCGGTGCTCGATGTATTCAATAGTCGGAATAAGGCAAGTCGAGGTACGTTGTATGTAGTTCGACTTCTTGGAACGTTGAATTAAGCGTATCAAGATTGAGTTCCATCACGTCACGAAGGACAACAAGATCTATGCTTTCGTATCGCCTGTCGATCTTACACAAGAGGCTGAGCAGATTGACCAGGAAATCGACCGACTGCGTGCTTTCATCAGTGAGCGGGGTGTCTGCGGTGTATCCGGTGCTGGTAAGTTGCATGGCCCGGAAGAGCCTCGTTTGCCCGGTTCGAGATATATATCAGCAGATGTGCTTGAAAGACAAGCTTCGCAATGGTCCGGCAGCTCTACGGTTCTACTAGGCCACACGCAGATCACCAGTCCCCACAAAAGAGCTAAACGAAGCTGGTTTTGTGAATACCTACAAGTGAGCATAGTCGTGTGGAATGCGTCCAGTACTGATCACCGGCTAGAAATCTTCAGGTCCTCCACTTCTACGATGCTATGAAACCCCACGGACAGTCGATCAAATCGATCGAGTTAGTTCAAGGCAGGCACCGAACATATATTGCGATCCTGGTCGCTACAGGCTTTGTTGCTCAGCATCATCATTACGGCACTAACAGCTTTGGCCACACATGACCTAAACTGTGGATGGGCTGCTGGCAGTTATTCAGCTGCCGTTATTGCTATCCTGCTGGTGTTCTTTGCATTTCTGAGCGGCATTCTGTAATACATTCCAAGCTTGCAGTTTTGATAACGGCCGCACCCAAAAACAGAAATAAGCAGGTTCTGTGAAGAAAAAGAAGCCTGGACTTCGCTTTTACTATCATGCTGTCTAATTTTCTCCGCTTGTAAGGATTCAGACTTTGTACATGTGAAGTGAATGGTAGTTGCGAATGATTACAGCAGCGTATGTGAATGCCGTATGGTCGAAGGAGAAGTCACAACCCGCCTAATTCTCGGCACAGAAAGAGCCAACAGCCCCACCGACAACCAGTTTCTTCGTTCACTTTCAGCCGTTCAATGTATGTGTATAGCACATCCTGTCGTACCGTTTATCGCAATGCAGAGGTTGCCCGGGTCTTTCGTGCTGATCTCCATGCTCAATCCTGAGCCTATACTGCCCACCACCAATGTTCTTGACAATGATCTACAAACGAAAGACAATGCCAATCTATCTCTTCGCAATGAACGCAAGATCGTAGGAGCTCTAGCTTTTCTCTTCGCGCTGACCGACGATCCGACTAAGGTCAGTGCTCTTTGCCTCGAGCGAGATGCTCAGCAATCCGCTTGTGTAATTCGAGTTGCGATGAATACTGGTGTCCCTCAAAGCTATCTGATCAGCTTCAGTAAAATAGCACGGGCACTTGAAGATCTGGCCAGATCAGGCGAGTAGCAAGACGCCTGCGACGACTGACTTTAGTTTGACTGACCGTACACGTAGGCGACTCCAATAGCTATGTGACCCTTTCTAAACAAGTCATTGACGTAAACCGGAATCGTATTTTGTCACGGTTGAGGTCCAAACATGCACAAAGCAGCAAGTCTATGAAGGCGGCGTTTGCGGACCGCCTTCGAGCGATGACAGGTGCGCTTTCAGCACTGGAGCATCCTGCTGCAGAAGTCGCAGCATTAAAGGTAGTCGTCTCGAAACTCGTTGAAGATATCGCACTACTCGAGGCTACGCCTCACGTCTTGGTCAACGCTGGCGAGTCCGATGAGAAAATACTGACGGTTCTATCACGGATGGATGATCTACCAGAGACCAGTCGTCTGCGAACTCTCCTCGACCAACTTCCTGCCGACAAGTTCTCAAATCCGGAGAGCTTGTTGCTGGCAATCACGAAATTGCGTAACTATCATGGATCGTGTCAGCTACTTGGCAGTGCTGTTCGCAACTTCAAGTTCTTTCAGTGCGTGTCCGTGCAGACGGTCGATGCAAGAACAACGGTTCCGCTGAGAGAACCCCAAGTGTCGGCATCCATACATGAGATCCTCGGGAGACTTAACATCCAATGGGACCATGATTCAGCCCGGAAGTTTGGTGTGAACCTACGGAAGGCCAATGCACAATTCCAGCGCGAAATGGCTACTCTAAAGCCCAAAGTTCACGCAGAGGTTCAGCTCATTTACCATTACGAAATGAATCCCCAGCTTGAGCGTCCAAGAGTCATCTGTTCGAGCAAGAGTGCTTGCTATCTATGCGACACATTTGTGAAATTGCATAGTGAATTCTTCATCTCGAGGACTCACGGTGTACTATATCCTCAATGGACACTGCCAAATATTCCCCAGGGCAGCATACCACCGGAGAGAGAACAAGCAATGCAAAGCAATGTTGGAAACTTGGCAAGAAGGGTTGAAGATCTTTTGAGGGATTTGTGGATTCGGCCACAGACTAGAAGATTGCATCCAAATGAAAGCGCAGTATCCTTGATGCACTGGACGCCGTTAAGCTCGACAAGCACTTCAACGACTACCAATCAACCAGTTTCCGGATCGTACCAAACCAAGGACTCAATACACATGTGCACAGTCAACCCCAGAGTTACGCCGGAGGCTAATGGTGTCCCAGCCAAAACACTTACGGTCAGTAGAGAGCTCTCTCGGTTGGAAGGGAGTGCTTCTCTCTCTGGTACGGATCTCGCCGTCTCCTCTTCAACTTCGCATGATCTCAATTGCCAAGATGGTGTTCAGACATCTGCAAACATCGGAGATCATGGAAGTCGAAGCTGCCTCGCGCAAACGGCACGTGGAAGGCTAAAAATTGCTGAAGCTCACGACTACGCAAGTGCTAGCCTTTCACGTTCCGATGATACGGGACGTAGGATCGACTTTCATGATTCAGGGATCCAGATGGTGCTGGAATTTCCCACGCATGCTGTAGTAAGCATTGCAACGGGCGAGCAATCCGAGAGATTGATTGGTACGGTCGTAGTGGATCTTGCAACGTTGTCGCCCGGGTGCGAGGTCTCCTTCGACCTCGCCGGTGATTCGGACGAGGGACGAAGCATTGTGCTGGTGCAGAAACTACACAACGAGACAGTCTTGTGGTGGAAGATAATCTGGCGATATTGACCAGCGATTACGCGGCTCCCATCGAGTTCTGTGTGTGCCAAGAAACACTATGACGATTGTAGATAAGTAGTGATTGGTTATCTGAGACTTTTTTGGTTAGTTAGTTGACTTCCTACGACGACCTGTATGAGTTAACCTTCACCAATTACGTGTTCGATTTGCCTACACTAGTTACACGAATGTCGTGGTATGTTTTCCTTAACAGCAACGGTGTCTTCGTTAAGCTACCATCAGCTTTGGACCATGATCTAATTGGCTCTAATATTCTTGGTCAGTCTTCCAAGATAATCCTCAGTATAGTCGAGCCATATTCGCTGGTCACTAAACCTTGTTACAGCAGAACTATCCCCTAGAGCAACCACTGCTTGATTCGATATGACGCAAAAAATTACTGTGGAGAGTGAAATCCGTGCTGCTGTTACAACTAGATGCAATGCTGTCGAAACTGGTTGAAGCGATGAAGCAAGTGCAAGCATTGATGGACAATTTCTTAGGAGCCGTCGACAAACTCCTGAAACCGCATCTGTAGTGTCCTGATGTAAAGTCTAAGATATTTTACGGTAGAAGGATAATATAAGGAACCGAGCAAAAAGCGATCCTGTTGAGAAAATTGCCAAAAGCTACGAGTTACGGAAGCGGTGGAAGAGAAGGTCTATTTAGAGGCGAACACTTGGCCACGGCTGGTCTCTTAGGTACGAGCGATTCCGCTACGTACATACGAAAGTTCGTCGAAACCATTGAAAAGCAATACCGCCGCCTTGTCGCGAACTAATCAGTATGTTTTTGCTTCAGATGACGTTGCAACCCGTCCTTCCTTGCATAGCCACAGAACGAGAGACGCGATTGCTTGCAGAAAACGAACGGACACCAGAACCGTTGCGGGAGCGGTGCTTCTGAGGAATGGTAGGAGTTCTGGTGCCTTCCAAGGTCCCTGCGGCTCTCGAAGCTGAGCCCACCACAATCAAAGTTCGGACATGTGAAAGGCTTCGTGTGGACCTGCATGTGCTTTCTATCCGCAAGTCAGCATAGCGTGGTTCAAGATTTGAGCATGACTAACGCCAATTGTGATCGGTTCTGCATCGGACGCCGGCAAAAAGGACAAATTGGACTTTGTTTGTCTGACGCCGATGTTGTGGAAGGGATTTCTGGTTCTCGCGGCACATCTTGCTGAAGAGCTTGGTCGAACAGAATGGAGTCGCCTTCGAGTGGCGGTAGGGTGAAATCGAGATTTGCTTGAGGGGTACATGCTGACTCTCCGTAGACGCGATGCTGGTTAACTCCGGCAGGATGGAGACGCGTATCTAATTTCCAAGGCTCGACGCAATGTACCGGTGCGACGTCGTCGCTGATGTGATAGTTTAGATGATGACTTGCACCGGTATCTTCACGGAGCCTCGGTGGACTCGACCGCGAGATGAAACTCTAGCACCGATCTGCTAGCGACAAGTCCCTGCCGGAGGGTTCTGAGGAGAAGCGTGGTGTAGGTCCCTCAAAGCAAACACAAAACGATTGTGATGACCACCTCTGAAGGAATGAAAGAGGTGATGAAGAGGAAAAGACAGCCAGACATTCAGATCCGCACTAGAAACAATCTTATACAAGTACGGGCATCGATCGATCGTCGTCACGATTTCTGTACCAGGTTAGTACCAGCAGTCTGGCCGCTGGTGTCTTGGCCGGATGAGTAGCAACCAATGAAGAAAGATCTCCGAGATACACTGGCCAATGAACTGTATGCCGTAGCGGTCAAGGTATTGATGACCCTAAACGAAGCAACCACGAGGTCTCAGTTTCAGCAGACAATTGAGCGATCATGCGTCGATCAATTGTTCATCACGCAAGCACGTCTTCGGATGCCTACACAGCAACTGTGATAGATGGAATGTGGACCTTATCCAATTTCAGGCCAGCAGGTTGTTTCCTCGTTAGTAGCTCCTCGTTCCTCGATGTTGGGCACATAGTGACTCACGTAACCTACGATGGAAGACCACGATTGCTATGGCCTTGGTGAGCCCAGGATGCTCGAGAAAATTGACGGACCCCTTGCATGCAATGTTGGTGAATATGTCAACTTGCCCCAGATCGTGGTTGTTGGCGACCAGTCTTCAGGCAAGAGCAGTGTCCTTGAAGGTCTGATCAAAATGTTGCTCCCTCGCGGTAGTGGGCTCTGCACGAGATTTGCCACTCAAATTATATTTCGTCGGTCGCTCAAAACTGGAGTGGCGGTGTCCATAATCCCAGACCCAAGTGCTACAAGTGAACATAGCGAGAAGGTCCGAGCTTGGACAAGACAAGTCGAGGTATTGGATTCGCGATCGTTCCTGAACATCATGTCTGAGGTGCATGAGGTTATGGGACTTGCGTCTAAGAAAGATCGACATTTCAATTCTGGCTCAATCTTTTCGGCGGACATCCTGCGCTTGGAAATATCCGGACCAGAAGAAGACCACCTCACAGTGATTGACGTACCAGGAATCTTCAAGAACACATCTGACGGCTCAACCACGAAGGCGGATATGTCCTTGGTGGAAAATATGGTTCGCAAGTACATGGAGAATCCAAGGTCAGTTGTGCTGACAGTGATCCCATCCAACGTGGATATAGCCACGCAAGAGATTCTGGAAATTGCAGCAGAATTCGATCCAGAAGGAAGGAGAACATTGGGTGTGCTGACCAAGCCTGATTTGGTCGACCGCGGCACTGAACCAGCAGTGGTTGACCTCGTTGAGGGACGCGCCCATGCTATGCGACTAGGGTGGCATCTAGTACGAAACCCTGGCCAAAACCAGCTTGCTAGTGAGAACATCGACCGAGACGGCCTCGAGGCTGCGTTCTTCCGTGATACGTCACCGTGGAAGAGCCTAGACAGGGAGAAGATTGGTATTGGTGCACTACGACGACGACTTCGCAAAGTGCTCTCTGACCTTGTGCGACACGAATTCCCCCATGTAAGTTCCACAAGCACAGTCGCTGAGTGAGCCGACGCTGATGATGAATTTCAGGTGCGGAGGGAGATCACCCACCGGCTAGTCTCAACTCAAACTCGTTTGAAACATCTGGGAATGCAACGAGAAAGCACGGAGAGTCAGTCGATGTATCTGACGCAAATCGCAGTGGACTTCCAGAGATTAGTGTCTCTTTCGGTCGAAGCCAAATATGGAAAGGACGAATTCTTCGATGATGACTATACTCTTCATCTGGCCACGAAAATCATGGCTCGTAACATCAGCTACGCAAACAGTATGAAGACGTTCGGTGAACAGTATCCTTTCGTGAACGAAGCACATGAAGACTCCGACACGGATGATACGGTTCCACCTGCTCTGGACTGGAGTCAGTCAGAGGCTAACATTAACGATGACAAAGAACGGACCATTCGTGAAGAAATTGATGCTCCTGGCCTGGAGGACATACTGCAACCTCCAGAGACGGTCCGCATCTCTGCAGCGAGTTCCATCGCATCCTGGCTACGTGGTGTGTATGAGTCCTCGAGAAGGTTCGAGCTGGGAACCTTTGACTCGTCTATTCTGGCAACCACGATGAAGGCACAATCCAGCAATTGGCCCTTGATCACATTGGGATATGTCAGCGACGTCATCTCGATGATCCATCACTTCATCATGGCCGGTCTAGACAATGTCTGTCACGACAAGCACGTAAGAGACGAGTTGTCGTCCACCTTGATGGAAGGACTGGCGTCCAGGTACAAGAAGGCCATCAAAAAAGCTCAATTTCTGCTCGCGGTCGAAAGATCCGGAACCCCCATAACTCTGAATCACTATTTCAATGACAATCTGGAGAAATGGTAGGGAAATACTCGGTCATGTGTACATGTTACTGACTTCTCGTAGTCGCTTGAAACGCATTCGCACCAGCATGGAGTCAATCTCTTTTTCCGATTCCAGCAATGGACTCGTTGTTCGGGTGGAAGACATGGTGCGCGCTCACCCGATGAGCAACACGCAACACGTTGTCCAAGAGGTCCACGACATTCTTTACTCGTACTACAAGGTGGCGTATAAACGTATGGTGGACAATGTCTGTATGCAAGCGATAGATCACCTGCTGGTCAATGGTCGTCAAACGCCACTGAGTTTGTTCTCGCCCACTTTCGTCAGTGGCTTGACAGCAGAACAGCTCGAAGCTATAGCTGGAGAAGACCGGATGACCAAAAGGACTCGAAAACTGCTGGCCCAGGAAATTCAGAACCTGACTGATGCCAAAAAAATCGTAACATGATTGTACTGAGAGACACTGTGTGAGAGTTACAATAAGTTACCATGCAGGCCCCCATTGATGATTTGCTCTACTCGTTTAGACATAATATATTGGCGTGCCACCTCTAGTTTTGTTCTTAGGATTAATGCTCATGGTAGCCATTGTCCTGCGCGAAGCATTGCTACGACTGTGGGAGGCTAGAGAGACCTACTGGTGATGCTGATGGCCATATAGAGCAGACCGTCCCATGTGCGTTGTTCTCAGACTCACACAAGTTGTCGTAAGCATGCGAGCACCCAACTCTTGTAACGTCTTTCCTCTAGCAACGGATCTCGATGCGGCAGAGCTAGGCTGGCACTTCTGCTTTCCCTGCAAAAGTAACAGCCACCATGTGCTTGACAAGACGTTGTAGATTGATCTCCCCTCACACGAACCAGCACTTGGAGCGGATGGATGATCGCCCACCAACTAAACGAGCACTACGACTCCAAGACTCTCTACTATAACATCAAGACCGTACATGCAGGGTGATCAGCCGAAGTAAGCGAGTATACTTACTCAAATTGAGACGACAGCTATTACTTGAGCAGACACACGCTGCCGAAATCACCTAGTCTAGCCAGATGTCACTGCTTTCGTATGCTACAGACTCATTCGTCGTGATTAGCTCCTGCATACTTTTAGGTGTCGATAACGATGTGAGCAAGGTTCGGCCAGGCTACAGCGACCTGAAGTCGTTTCTGGTGTAGACCGGCAATAAGTGTTGCGAGTAAAGGTACTGTTTTAATTATCACATACACACAGTGAAGTAAAGGTGAGTGTGAAAGTGAAGATGATAGTCGTTGTAGTATGGCAAGGCTGGATGTGGTCACGGAATTAAGCTTGGACATTTAGCCGAGGTGTGGCCACGTCGGTTGTCCGTCGCGAGCCTGATTGACTTGTGTGATATTTTAGACAGATATGACAAGGCCATTCGCTCCTACTCTAGAATGTTATAGGCGTATACCCTTCACATCCTGCACTGCCTCTGCCTGCTCCGAGAACCTTCGACTTATGTCATCGTTCTTAGCATGGTTGCCATCGCCGAAAGCGCTCGTATTGGACTTAACTCTAGACGGGTCTTTGTGCGCGTGGACCTCACAACTCTGACCCTTCCATTCGCGTCACGGACGAACCTGGCCGTTCCTACCATCCGAAGCAGTTGCGCTTGACGATACATTATGCACTTGACGGAGCTGCCGGTTGAGGTTCTAGAAGAGGTGTTTTCGTACTTGGACAATCATACAAATCTCAACCACTACACTAGCGAGCATAACAACTCCGAAAATAGTGAGGACGATGGAGACGATCAACACAGTATAAGTAGCGAAGATCTTGAAGATGCTGCTGTGTCAAGCGTCGCGATTAGTGTTGCAAATCCTCGACAATCACTGCTTGCCCTCTCACTTGTGTCCCGATGTTTTCACCGTCTCGTCCAACCTCGCCTGTTTGCTGTCTTCGACCAAACAAAGGACAAAACACTACCGTTCTTGCGACACATCGAGGAGTATCCGCAACACGCAATGTATGTCCGCACCCTACGAATTGAGCCCATCATGAGAGACTGGGAGTGGAAGTGTATTGGGGAGGATGCAGATTTCGCTTTTGTATCATTACTGCTCTGTAAGATCCTGCATCAGGCGACTCTTGTTTCGGGGGAGTTCCCTGCGAGCCTCGTGTCTGACCTCTCCTTGAAGGACGACGGAGTCCAGCAAGAGATCATTGCGCAATGGCTGATACTTAATCTGCCGCTTGTGGAGACATTGAACATATCGATACCCGAGGATTGGTCGTTTAGTTTACTCACGTCCACGGTACAGCACGATCGCAAACTGCTCTCACGTTTGCGCGTGTTGCGTGTCCTCGACTCTCCTCCATCTTTGCAGAAGAGATATGGACTGCAACCAACACTTGACCTCGGACTGGCAGTAGCTTTGTTGGATCTCAAGCAATTGAACACCGTCGTTCTCGACACCTGCATTAACTTCAAGAAGCACGAGAAGCTTGACCTGTGTGTGAAAAACGTGGTTCATCGGCGTTGTGGTCGAGTTGCATATCAAGTGAATCGTCTGCTTGCGGCGTGCACACAGCTACAATCTTACGATCTCGAGTACGACGGCGGTACAGCGCTCGACCTTTCCGGACTTTCAAAAAGCAAGGACACTTTAGAGCGCTTGAGTCTGAGAGTGTCGACACTAGCATTGAATCTGCTAACACAATGTCAGGTCTTGAAATATGTCGCCATCACAGCCGAGCAGTTCGACCCACGCCGTCCAGGTACGAGACAAGGAATACACCACCGAACGAGAATTCTCAAGCCTCCGCCGCATCTTCTGGCAGCGATGCTCCCAGCTAGTCTTGAACATCTGTGTCTCAGCAAGGCCTACGGAGACGCCCAGTTGATGTGGCAGGATCAACTGATGGTCGTGGTCAAATATACGGCTCGAAAGTTCCGGAACCTTAAGCTCATCGAGGTCTCCTGGCGGCCCAGTCGACAGTTGCAGGAGGAGTGTGTATTATTCAATTTACAGCTCGCAACCCTCAATAACGACGATAGCGACGATTTCTCTAGGGCCATTAATGCTAACAGCTAGAGCGGTAATCTAAAGTGAGTATTTACTACTATAATGTATACTGTCCACTCAAGACCTCTTTAAGGATTGGTTGTCTTAGTCAGTGTGGCAAGACGTCGCTCTCGCCGCAGCGTCGCACGATTGCGAGAGCCACGAGGTCGACCTCGTCGAGACTGTGTGCGTATGTTCCGCGGAGACATCGCTTTGCCGGCCGACAAAGCGATACTCTCACCATCATCGTCCATCAGGGGCACATTCCTCCACGAGTCAGGCACAGGCGGCACGATTACCATCACGTTCGTCTTCTTGCGCGAACGTTCTTGCTGCGCTCCACCTGAACAGAATCGATGTTCAACAGCCGAGATAGGCTCCGCAATACCACAGGTCTCTTCTCTCGCCGAGTCGGTTGGCCTGTTCTGCAGTATCTTCGCGCCCGTACATTTAATGCCATCACTTGTGTGATGATCCTTGTCGTCTCTGACAGCAGGACTTCCCGGTCGTGTCGGTCCATCTCCCTGCTCACTGACCGATATCTCTTCGTCAGTCTCGTCAAGCCTGTCAACCACATCACAATCAACTAGGTCGACCTCATCCGCTCGCTGCTGCTGTGGCTGCTGACTTCCCAGCTCCACGTTTCTATCGTGGAGACCGAGCTTAGCGAAGTGAGCGGCGTCGGTGTGGACGAACGACACTGCTGTTGGCTGGTGGGCAGTGTCACACATCGTGCTGGCGTTCAGGGCTTTTGGCCTCTTTCCTTTGTCAAGCCGAATATCATGAGCGTCCGCGAGATGCTCGAGGAAGGTGACTCTGCTGTTCATTGCAGAGAGCTGTCGACAGCCCGGGTGCGGACACGCTGTGCTCTTGCCTCGAAGTACATGGTCTTGGATGTGTCTCTTCCAGTTGGTGAGGTTGAGGTGCTGGTGATACTCGCCGTGTCCAAGGCACGCCGGACACAGTCCCGGTCGAATGACGTTGTGACGAAAGGTCGCCATCGAGCAGTGCAAAGGAGGCTGGTCGATGTGCGTTTGGGCATGTGCGGCCCAGTCATCGTGATCGTCATACCACTGGAAACACAAGAAGCAGAACTCGGCAAAGCTGCCCATGTTTTTCTCTGACCTCTTCCGGCAGTGATAGACGTGCGACCACCATTTGTGTTCCTCGTGAGGCATACACTTAATTCGGCATACATCACACGTTAGACCAGACTTGTTGAGGGTGGCGCAGTGTGCTTTGCGTGTTTGTGTACCACATAGCGCGATCAAGTCATGCATGACCTTGCGACCAACTACGTCTCGGAGACTGCCTTCACAGAAGAGTGATGTGGCCAATCGGTCCCGCTCAGGCATGAGCTTACGCGCTTGGCTGAAGTTCGACTCGTACACCTGCGCATGAGGTTCCGATGATTCGACTTGCTTGTTCTGCTCGCGAATCAACCGGTCTCGTTGTTGCCGCCATAGGTCATAGTCCTTCTGGCGCTCTTTAGCGTGTACCGGACTGGCTTCTCGATCCTGATCCTCGCTATCCTTACCCTCCTTGACATTCTTCCATGCAGCCTGTCGTAGTGCTTCCTTCAGCATGGGCTGGTGGTATGGGTTTTGGCTCCAGCCGTAGCTGCGACGCAAGTCATGCAGCTCAGTGCTGGTGGCTTGAAAGTGGAAGTATGACGCTTGACCATCGACCATTGGCATCGCAGTCTGGTATGATCGGCGGTAGGTATCGCTGTTGACATGGGCAGCAAAACGCATCCTCTCGTTGCAGGAGTAGCCATAATTGTCAACCTGCAACAGCACTTCACGTCGAGCCGCATGCAGTACCACGTTGTCTTGGAAGCCTGCGCGGTATCCCAAGTCCACCAACGCCTTGGAGGTCAAGGAGGATGACATACGAGTGTGGTCGAGCTGTCCCTGACGCAAGCTGCGAGGAAAAATGGGCCAGTCAGCTTTGTCCGGGTGCCAATGTAGGGTGATGTGCTTCTTTTTGTCAGGCTTCGAAATGTCACAGATGCTGTCCCATGTGTGGTAGTCCCGCAGAGCATCGTCTGCCAAGGCAGCCGCCATGAAAAAAAGCACACTATTGCAGTAGAAGGGTAAGTCGACCAGCTCGTACAGCATGTGCTGGGGCTGCTCACTCTCCCAGTCCTGCAACCCTTTGGCCTTGGTGCGCTGAAAGTCGATCACCAGCTGAGGCTGCTTGGCCTGATCCAGCCAGACCACACTCACGTTGATGTCAGCATACGTCCACTCTCGCTCGTACTCTGCACGCCGAGCCGAGGTGTTGCAGTGCAACAGCAACAACAGATGCAAGCCAACTCGATATCGCTCGTGGTCAAAGTCATACCAGTCGTTCTGCCACAGCTGCATGATACACGCCAGAAAATCATCACGTGTAAAGTTGCGCTTAGGCCGCATCTTGCGAGATAGGCTAGGGGAGCCGGCTTCGCCGCCTTTGATGAAGTTGAGGATGGTGTCTTGGTGACTCTTGGTGAACGACGTGTGATGTTGACGACTCCAGGCGGCCATAAAGGACTTCCAGGCCGTGTAGGTGTAGGCCACCGTCAAACGACCGCCTGGCTCGTTTCGTCCTTGTCGACCTTGCGTGAAGTACAAGACAAAGTTTTTGGCAGTCTTGAGGTTTCTCGGGTCTTTCGAGCCTCGATAGTCGGCCGCAAACAGATCCCATTCTCGCAGGATGGTATCGTAGAACTTACTGGTGCCGGCCACGATGGGTTTGCGGACGACACTGGTGGTGGTGTGCTCGATCTGCTGCTGATACTGGCGAGCCTGACGGATCTGGTCTCGTGCCACATCTCGAGCCGTCTTGCCTGGCGGTCTCGACACCAGAGTTTCGGCATCAGATGTCACGCTGAGCATGTCAGCATCGACAGGGTCAGCGATAGTAGCATGACTGCACTCCATGTTATTAGGAACCTATCGTAGATATGAATGGTAATGAACAAGCAGATTTGGATATATTCGATGGCAGAAAAGACAGCCTAGTACTGGAGAAGAAGAAGAGGAAGCATGGAGAGAAGGGAAAAGAAGAGACAGACACAGAAGCAGAACAGAAGACCATGTGCTAGCTCGCTGGTGGACCATGTTTCTTTGTGGGAGCCTTGCCCCAGCAACGCGACACAACTGGTCAGTCTGAGGTTTCACTTCGATGGGTCTGCTGTGGCTGGAGAAATGGGAACAAGTGAAACACGGTGAGCTCAGGTGAGTAGCAGGTGAGGCGAGGGTGAGATAAGGGTGAGGAGGGGGTGAGCAGAGCAGCAAGAACCTCGTCTGAAAGAGGACGCTCACCCACGAGAATCTGAGCGATAATACCTAATTATGTTCCTTAGTAAGAAGCTTAGTCTAGCTAAATAGAACTATAAGACTAGAGATTAGGAGATACTTATTATTATTATTATTTTTAAGATATAGCGTTATTATCTTAAGTTACTAGCGAAGACGATGTGTGTAATTACCGATTACGAGACGCTTATAAAGTTTATAGATAATAAAGCTCTTAGTAGGAAGAGGTAGATTAAGTAGGTAGAGTATTTAGCGGCTTTTAATTTTAAGATTATATAGCGTAAGGGTAAGGATAATCTTATAAATAGGCTATCTCGTTAAGTAGACTATATAGTAGGCTTAGAGGAGCTAGATTAAAACCTTTTATATATATTACTAGCGAAGCGTATACGTAATATAGGAGCGAAGCTAGAGAATAAGTATAATCCCCTTTTTAAACTAATTTAGTTAAAAAGGTTTAGTATAGTACTTTATATTACTATATACGTATATAAGAGAAGTAATCTTAGCGTAGTCGCTAAGGATAAGTATAGTCCTCTTAGTAGAGAAAAGTTAGCTGTAAGGAAAAAGTATATAAGGACCTGAAAAAGAGGCGCTAATAAAAGGAGTATAGTTACTAAGCGTTTTAGTAACGCTCTCTAGAGTTAAGATATCGCTAAGACGCTTATAAGTCGTCTACTAAGTATATAGAATAGGGACGCCTTCTATAAAGAGCGATACTAGTTAAGATTAAAGAAGAATATATTTATTAATAACGCGCGTAAAGAGGCCTAAGAGGTTAATTTTATAGGTCTTATACGTATTTATAGTATAGCGTATATCCCTAAGAATACTTAGATTAGAAATAAAATCTTATAGGTTAATTATAATAACCCTTAGTAAGATAGATACTTTAGAAGAAAGAGAACCTTTTAAGTAATCTAGCGATACTATTAGTAGCCATAAGTATAGCGCTAGGTATATATATATATAAAGATATATAATATCTATTAACGAATAAAAGTATTTAGGTATAAGCTATATAGACTACTATAAGCCTTACTTATCCTAGAAGGTCTTTAGTAAGATATTATAATAGACTTTATTATAGGCTTACCGCTAGCGAAGTATAGGTATAACATCTATAACGCTATCCTAGTTATTATTAACTAGTTCTTTAAAATAATAAGGTTTATCTCTTATAATACTAATATTAGAACTAAAGAAATAGCGGATATATTATATAATAAGATCTTTATAGCGTATAAGACGCTAAAATCTATCGTAATAGACTAAGGAATAGTATTTACTACGAAATACTAGGGTATAATAGCCCAGGTTCTCGCGGGTGAGCACCCCTTTCAAGACTGGCCATGTGCTGCTTTGCTCACCCTTCACTCACCCTGCACTCACTCCATGCTC